CCTACAGTATCAGTTTTTAAGTTCACTGAATGCATTCCTGCTTTTTTGGAGCAACTATCGTTACTTGAGCTATATCCAAGAAGACAGTGTGCTAATGCAAAGACAGCATGGTCCCACCAGGATGCTGCTTCAATGGTGTCAGTTAACGGAATACCAGTGACATTTCATTCGCTCAAAATTTCGAGCATCCTGCGTAAAACCCATATTCTGGACAAAACGATAGGCCAGTCACCCTGAGTTTTTCAGCGTCACCATTCAAATTCAACTCCACGTGGATTTTTAGTTCAAATGAGTTACTGGTGTTGAGATTTTAAATTTCTTAATTCGTCCCTCACAGGACTCATAAGAAAATCACGTTTCTTACTGAGAAGTTGCGAAACGCTATGAAATCCAATGGCAATCCAAAAAATGAGCTACCAGGGATTGCCATTTTTCATCAGTAAACATAAAACATAGCAGGTAAGCATGTTGTTCGGAAAATTCCGCATCTACTTCGCCCCCAAAGTTTTCTTCGTACAGCCAGGAACGCTGTTTCCGGTTGGTCTACGGTACGGAGGATCTCATTTGAGCTGCATACAAGCAATATTCTAAGACCCTCAAAAGGAACAAAGATGGGTTGATAAACATGTGTTCGGCAAGGCCTTTTCATGTCATGTCATACGGTTGCGAAGGTTAAGAGAGCAGTATTTGACATTTGAACGAGCATGGTGTACATGGAATAAGAGATCGAGTAGGCGACACTGGTTACCCATCAGAGAACAGATAGATCAGATCACCAATAGGGTGGCTCGAGCTTGTCAGTGCGGGCAGTGCTATGGTTGTGTTCAGCATAGGATGTATTGTGGAGGGAGGTGAGTTGGACCACGATAAGTACAAGACGAACAAAGCGTTTTTGCTGACAAAGGATCGGGTCTCGATGTCGCATGGCGATAGCTTCAGCCGCTGCGATTGTGCGTTACTGTAATGATCCGAGTCGATTAGCCAGCTCCTTGCAGACAATGCGAAAGCTCTGTCTGGATATCGCATGCGCCGTGTCCGGTCGATGTACTACTGAGCTGGCTGTCGTCCTCCTAGTTCCAAAAGCTGACCAGGGTGGATTGTATCCCTTCATTCTTTAGCCGAGTTGCAGAGTCGTGTGTCTGATGTATTCCGCTGAACAGCAGCAAGAGGATGAGTACACTAACATATTTTTTGGGCGTGGACAGGCACTCTATCTTTGAGATTAAACTAATACAGACGAACCAGGTTCGGAGTGTCGCGGCCGGGGAAAACTTTGTTCAAACAGGTATCCTGTTCGGTAGGTCGGTCGGTGTATCTCCCTCAAACGGGAGGCTAATGTAAACGGGTTTTCTTCCAACTGGAGGTGATGGTGTTGGGGTCTCCCTTGTTCGGGGAACCAGTTGTCTCTCAGAACGTTGTAAGAGTTAGGATTCCTTATTCTTATTCTAAAATGCGAATTTTCGAAACCCCCAAAAGGCTTAATGCCCACACCTTTTTGCGGGAAAAACTGACAATCAACCATTTCGCGAGGTCAGCAATCAATTTCAGTAATTAAGTAGTACTGGGCGACAGCTTATCATGGTGGAGAGGAATCGATCGTGCATTTTCAATTCAGTCTAACGGAAGACGTACAGTGCTCGTTAAAGGACCAATTGTGACTTCGCTTACTCTAAGTTCCTTCTGTTTTCTTACCCTGCCAAAGGCAGCCAGATCATTCTGATTGTCCGGATCATCCTTTTTGCTCCTTTAGTGGCTCCAAAATCCTCAAGAATTCCGTTTTGTGAAGCGATTCGTAGGATGAGCCCTTAGATTCTCGGATATTCACCCAAGGCAACTAAATCGGTTTTCGATCAGATCATGTTACATCGGTTGTTCGTTTTTACGTCTCCGTAGGTGCAACCCTTCTTCCCTGCACCACTCTACAGTGATGACGTGCGCGCATCCTCCATTAGCTTGTACGAACTGCGTTTTGCTTTTATCCAGGGCACAACACCTCAGGGGGAGTGAGCTGTGATGAAGTACAAGATGCTCAAGATCTCCGAGCGTCTCGCAACTCTGGGCTCATTGCGTGTTCCGATGCAATGAGGTGGGTGCCTGAGTTTCCTCGCATGTCCACAGCATGCAGCCTGAGTGTCATGTGTATCAGGTCAAAATGAATCACATTCATTGGACAACTACCGCAATCAATGTGTATTGGAGATTTGACTGTTATAGGTTGCACTGGTGCACGGTAAATCAATAAAAGGTGGCAGATGTGACGTTTGGCACGCTATAGTGGCAGACAGTTCAAAACGATGGTAATTCCAAACGTGGCAGATTCCACTCCAGAGCATTACATATAAGGAAGACGTATGCATAGGTACTTGCTCACACACAGAGTAACTTAGAAATTGGGGGTCGAAAACACTGTCTCTCCATTTTCGATTAGGCAGTCATACTGCTTTGACAAATGCTTCGAACAGCCAGAACTCTCGATTGAACCAACACACTCCACAAACTGTAATCGTTTAACCAGAGTTACCAGGTCGAAGGAATACCCCCCGTTTAAATAAGACAGGTCGGGAAATGCCTGAGAGTAATTGGAACCTTGGACGGTCGGTAATCCTGTGGACTACGTTTAGCTGTAAATCCTAGTGTCCCTGGTCCATTACGGCCATTTTCAAGTAAATCGGCATCTTTTTTGATAGCACAGAAACAACAAGCTCATGGATGTCATTCTGATAAAGAGGTGAAGCGAATCGGCGTACCTATAGACCGGCCACCCATGTTTGATCTTGAACTTTCTACCACAATAAGTCGGGCTGCTTTATTTCTTGGCTGCCTCACTCTGCGACCTTTGAACTTTCGAACAACTGTTACAGTGCCGCAACATGATTATATTCGCACTCCCTATATGGATCCACTGCATGCCCTACATACGCCTCGTTAAAGCAGTCTTTCATGTCGTCATCGCAGAACCGCCATCCCTTCATGAAGTATCGTCCGACTCGCTATTCCAACTTCTTTGTTACTAGAATCACTTGGGATTCTTTACACCGATTGTTAAAGCCTCTAACTGGCCTTCAGTCAGGGAGCAGGGTAAGCGAAATGGAGGTCAGCCTTCATGAATATCTAGATCAATTCAGTATCAAGTGAGAAACTAGGCACTCGCACAGACGGCCCGCCCGGGTGTACGCTGAAACAGTGACAACACCGTCGCTTCTTACATCAGATTTCTGGGGTCCAAACCCTTGCACGGCCAAGCATACACATTGCTGGTTAGCTCTAATAAGAGCGACACTCCAATCCAGTGCTTTCAATTTTTGGTATCTTGACCGGAGAACTGTTCAAACGATAGTGATGTGAATGCGGATTTAGCCGTTTTTGTGACCACCTACAATCAACTGGGTCATTAAGCCCGTCTGTTTCCGGTCGCACTGGTCGCATTTACTTGTCGGCAAATAATGGGTACTCGTGTGATCGTTTTATTCGCTCTATTCACCAACATCCTGTTTTGTTTTACAAAGCTTACGGATTATGGGTTGGATGCTCATGAGATAACCAATACTTCTGTCAGTTTATCGCTATCAGTGCCCAAAATACAGGGCAAAATCACCTATTTTTCCGGCGTGGTCACCAGGAGAGACCGTTGGTTTCTGCAGAAGTTGGAGGTAAAACTTTCGTAAAGTGAAATTCAGCGGTGAGAAATAGTGGTTTAACTTTTCAGGAGAAAACCTCAAGATATCTCAACCGTCTTCGGATTTCTTTATATCCATATAGAATGTTGCGCGCGAACTTCGTCACAGCGCAAATGAGAGTCCACTTCCCTAGTATCTGCTCACTCAAGACAACCGTGAGGTAGATTGCTACTCCACTATTTGTCAGTGTCGATCTATTCCTTTGTTTGATAATGTTCCGATAAATAGGTGGGTCGTATGCCTTTGCGTCTATCCAGGATAGTGACTCTACACTTACCATCTTGTAATGGAACTGGGGAACTAGACACGTGACAGATTGCAAACCTCTCGGTCGATACGAAACACTAACCCAACTCTGTCGTCCAAATTGATTTACCGAGTACCGCTTAGTTGTTCAAAGCATTTTCGCTGCAGTAGAGACGATCCCAATCATGTTACGTTATCGAAAATGCATAGGAACTTAGTGACTCCAGCTTGGCCAACTAATAATTCCTGTCTGAGAAATTCGAAAACTCATCAGAGCACCGTTCCTTTTGAGTTGTGCAGAAAGCCGTGTAGTCTAATCGTATATGAACTCGCCTGATGAGATCTTATCGGAAGCACTGCTACCAACCACCATGATCTGGATTGTGTTAAAGTAACCGTTCCACTCACACAGACGCGAATATGACATCGTAAATCAAGAGGCAGTCGCAGAGGTCATAAGACAAGTTTCAAGCAAATCTGATGAGATGATATACGTAAATTATCAAATAGGTGACGTTTTATTGTATAGCGAATTATTCGTCTTCGGACTTTGTTTCGGCAGTGTAACGCTTGGTATTTTTACGGGGTCACTTGTGTGACCTCCTTGTTGTTCATATATCCACAAGTTACCGATACTTGAGTAGATTCACTCGAGCTCTCAGGACTTCAAATTGTTACATGGCGACGGTAGGAGTTTTAAGACCGCTATAACCTGAAATTTACAAAATGACTGGATGAACTGAAACCAATTTTGCACTCAAAATCAAAGATGGACCCGTCCTCTGGTTGCAAGGCAATTGATTACGTCTATATTTCCAGTGATGTATCTGAAAATTGTTGCTGAATCTGGCAATTAACTGTGTTTTGGTTTAAAGGTGCGTTGATTTCACGTGATGACAGCATTGGTACATCTAAGAGCCAGAACAGATGTCCCTGTAAGACACCAGAATGCAGGTTTATTTTCCCAGGAATCGTAACAAGCCATGTGACTAACAGGTGACACCCCTCCAGATTTGGACAGCTAAAAGATGTGCCGCAGTTCCTGTTAACGCCAGCTTATGTAGAAGGGATTCACACGCTTAATCCCGCTGATCTCTTTGCAATTAAGCCTAATACTTATATCGGAGTTTGTGGAAATCACGTGATAATGCACTGCATATGTTGACCCGGTCTTCAAGTAGCAATTTACAACTTGCAACTTTTATATAATGTCAGAGTGGGAGTCCCAAATAAGTCACTGAGATATCCGTGTATAAGTTGTTGAGAACCGTATGAGAACAAAACCCACATGGAGTAATGACAGTTTTGACGCCATGAAGACAGTTGAAAACAGCGAGCAAACGGGTGAAGTGAACAGTTAACAAAATAATTTCGATGAACACTCTATAGCACAGACACAACGGAAGTTACTCAACAGAATACCTGAATGCCAGAAAATCAGCATTCTTGAAGATAGGGACAAATGCTAATCTAAGTTATTCACTCTGTACGACTATCGAGGTGTAGGGGATGTCTGTGAACAACGGTGGCAAGTGTACTGCTCTATGATGACCTCCATGAAACCTGGGGGAAAAATTCATTAGGTCGGAACGACCGTCCAGAAAGAGTGGTATTTGGGGCTCTAATAGACCCTGACTTTAGTCTATCCTTAAATCATTTTCATAAAGGAAACTAACTACTCACAAGGTTGCTGAAAACTCTTCAGCAGCCCACGACTGGTTACGCCCTTCTTGGGGCTCATCAGGTAGGCGCGGTCCTCGAGTTTCCGTCAATCTTATGTTCTACTTGAACCCAAATTGGACCGTTTTCGAGAAATACACTCGTTTGCAAATCAACTTGGTTTTCACGAGAGATTCAACTGCATCTCTCGTGTGCAGCACATCCACTTGTAGAATATCATTAACGAGAGATTCAGTTGAGTCTCTCGTGAAAACCGAATTGATTTGCAAATGAGTGTATTTCTCGAAATCCTTGAATTAATTCGCAAAATGTACGGGGATTGAACTGTACAAAGATCAGCGGACGGACGTGAACTCAGCTTTACACTACTCTGATAATTTTATCACCAGATCAAAGACCTTAGTGCTCTTATACAATCAACAATCAATGGATATTCTTATCTCTTTAGAAGCTGTCTCTAAGAGAATTCTCTGGACCTGTTTCACGAGGTGAAACTTTTATTGTAAGTGGGGATGTCCATTTGAATATCACAATGTAGAAGAGTCCATCTGAACGATGCGTCTCACAGAGTGCAAATGTAGATTGGTTCTAAACCTCTTGGAACCTGATTTACTAACCTGAGAAATGGTGGGAAGTGAAGGACAATTTTAACACCCAGTTTGAGGATTTTAAATCCTGTCTGCGACGGGTAGTATCCAGCTAAAATTCCCCCTCCTTTAATTTTTACTAGCATCTCCAAATCGATAACCAAGCTAGTGGTTCTTAGTATACCATAAGAGTATTGTGCATCTCTGATTTTCGTGGATGAAATGTGAACGCCAGTCCAGCTAGGGTGGAAACACGTGATGATACGAATCAGTTTAGGTTCTGGGTACTCCAAGTTTGGGACCCACCAAGGACGTTGTTTCTTCATGAATGAACCTAATTTGTGTCGCATAATTCAATAGCGAACGTGCAAACTCGGAATTAGATCAGACTAAAACGGAAGTCAGTAATCGAAACGGCGATCTGTTAGCAGGATTTTCTGATACCATACTTCGTGAGTGGAACACTAATCATACGGGGAGTGGTTTGAAGGTAACTAACTAACTAACTAATTTCCTGTAAAAGTAGGACTAGAAGCAAGCAAACGAACCAAAGCATTACCTAACAAAGCGAACAAAATTGCCAAGTAACTCAAGTCGAATATCAGTGCTCTGACGGAGTTTACAAAAGCAGTGAAGGTCAACTGTTTTTCTTTCTTGAGTAGTTTATTTAAAAATCCGAAACAAATTTTCTGAAATTTTTAACGGACGGACACACTGATAATTGACCAAATTTATTATCCTGGGTAGAAGCTACACAATGAAAGGTTAATTTTCTTTCTCTTCGGTGTCCTACTCTTGTAACGGTGATACTACTGATGGGGAGGCACGCAAGTAGCATGTGCTGTTCGTGGAATTTCGCTTTGCGTCTTTTGAGAAGAGGAGATCTATTGCGGAAT